TGAGACAACACGATTTCTGGGCCTCCAATAGAAGGATGGATAAACAAACTGGTGAACTGGAACATTTCTTTTAAAAAAATTAAATCTTTATTGTTCAGATTATTACATTTGTTCCTTTTTTTCCCCCCCATAACTCTCCTCCTCCCAGTTCCCACCCCACCCTCCACCCTCACTCCCCACCCACTGTCCTCATCCATAGGTGCACGATTTTTGTCCAGTCTCTTCCCGCATCCCCCATACCCCTTTACCCCCTTCCCAAAGAATAGTCAGTCCATTCCCTTTCTATGTCCCTGATTCTATTATAATCACCAGTTCATTCTGTTCATCAGATTATTTATTTACTTGATTTTTAGGTTCACTTGTTGATAGGTGTTCATTTGTTGTTCATAATTTGTATCTTTACCTTTTTCTTCTTCTTCCTCTTCTTAAAGGATACCTTTCAGCATTTCATATAATACTGGTTTGGTGGTGATGAACTCCTTTAGCTTTCCTTATCTGTGAAGTTCTTTATCTGACCTTCAATTCTGAATGATAGCTTTGCTGGATAAAGTAATCTTGGTTGTAGGTTCTTGCTATTCATCACTTTGAATATTTCTTGCCACTCCCTTCTGGCCTGCATGGTTTCTGTTGAGAAATCAGCTGACAGTCGTATGGGTATTCCCTTGTAGGTAACTGAGTTTCTTTCTCTTGCTGCTTTTAAGATTCTCTCTTTGTCTTTTGCTCTTGGCATTTTAATTATGATGTGTCTTGGTGTGGTCCTCTTTGGATTCCTTTTGTTTGGGGTTCTCTGTGCTTCCTGGACTTGTAAGTCTATTTCTTTCACCAGGTAGGGGAAGTTTCCTGTCATTATTTCTTCAAATAGGTTTTCAATATCTTGCTCTCTCTCTTCTTCTGGCACCCCTATATTTCGGATGTTGGTACACTTAAAGCTGTCCCAGAGGCTCCTTACACTATCTTCGTATTTTTGGATTCTTTTTTCATTTTGCTTTTCTGGTTGGGTGTTTTTTGCTTCTTTGCATTTCAAATCTTTGACTTGATTCTTGTGCTCCTCTGGTCTGCTGTTGGGAGTCTGTATAATATTCTTTATTTCAGTCAGTGTATGCTTAATTTCTAGTTGGTCCTTTATCACAACATCGAGGGTCTCGCTAGATTTCTTGAGGATCTCACTACATTTATCGGCGGTTTCTAGAAAGTTCTTGAAAAAGCTTAGAAGTGTGATTTGAATTCTATATCCAGTAGTTTGCTTTCCTCCATTTCTGTCATTTGTGTCCTGTTTCTTTGTCTCGGCATTTTTTATGCTTCGCTGCGTCGATAGAGTGGCTTTCTGTGCTAAGTGTCCTATAGGGCCCGGTGGCGCAGCCTCCCCAATTACCTGAGGTAGACACTCTTGGTGCACTCCCTTGTGGGCTTTGTGCACAGTCTTGTTGTAGTTAAGCCTTGATTGTTGTAGGTAACACTGGGAGGGATTGACCTCCAGGCCAATTGGCTGTGAGAATCAGCTGTGTCGACAGTGGGAGAACTTCTGTGCTGAAGACACCCTTCTGGGGCAAGACTTGCTTCAGTGGGGCTTTGTTGCTCACTGAGTCTGCCCCCTGAATGTGTTCCTTATGGATCTGCGGAGTTATAAATGGATGGTCCCACTCTGACCACTGGGTACACTGGCTCATGGATCTAAGGAGGTGCTAATTTAGCCTCTGCCTGAGGCTACCCTGCAGAAGCCAGCTGTAAAGGATTGCAAGTTGCCCTGGGGCCTTGGGCAGCTGCAGTTTGTTAAGTAATTTTCAGATTACAAAGGGCCGGGCCTTTCATATGCAAAAGCCTCCTTGCACAGCTTGGGCGGGGTGGAGCCCCGGGGGATCAACTGGGTGGCAGAGCAAGCAGTATGGCTGCTCTCAGTCCTGTCCTCAGAGGCCTCGGCAATAGCCGCGAGTGCCTCTGAGAGAAAGCGGCCAATGCCAGACAGTCCCATTTCTCCCATATGAGTCTGGGTCCCCAGAGACTCACCTGGAACTGGAGCTCAGAGCCTGAGACTCCCTCCCGATTGAAAAAGACAATCATGACCTCAGCCGCCAGCCCTCTCCTCATGCACCTTTGTATTTTATTTCCGCACCGCACCTCCTCTGAGTCTTGGTATGCTTTTCTCTTTCCTTCTAGTTGTAGAATTTCCACTCAGCAGCCTTCCTGTGGTTCTGGATGATGTCCGTTCCGTCTTTTAGTTGTATTTTTGAAGTGGTTGTGCGAGGCAGCAATCTCTGGTGTTTACCTATGCCGCTATCTTGGTTTCTCTGGAACATTATTTATAAAATTATTTATGGCACCTTATTTGATGATAAAAACATCTGAGCAATCCAGCTATAAAAAGACTCAGAGGAACAGTAAATGCTACTTAGAGGCAGTCTTCAAAGGCTTCACACTGTACGATTCCAACTACTTGACTTTCTGGAAAAGGCAAAACGACAGAGACAGTAACAAGCTCAGCGGTTGGAGGGGCTGGGCAGGTGGAGGGCTGAGCAGGGAGCGCGGTGGGCGTGTGGGCGGTGAGACTGCTACAGGGCACCGTGCATCTGTCGAAGGCAGGGGGTGAACCTGGTGCGGGCACGAGGAGAACACTCCAGCCCTGGGCAGGTGCGCAGCAACGGTGGATTTCATTGACAGCTAATCCCATTCCTTTCATACTTCTGCGTCTTCTTCACATGGCTGTGCGGGCATGTAATAGCCCCCTCCTGGCAGTTCTAGAACTTTTGCTATCCTCAACAAGGCTACAATGGGCACCCTTGCACATGAATCTCCCAACACTTCTAAATGTATTTCTGTGCATTATTTTCTGTGCCATGTGGAGGTGAAATGTTAGGTCCCAGAGTCCAGAAATTGAAAGCTTTTATGCTTCCAAACAGCCAGTCAAAAGGCTAGGTTAAGCTCATGCAAGGCTGAAGGAGCTTCTGGCCCTGGAGAACAGGCGGAGCCTTTCCGAGCAGCCAGGACAATGGCACCCCCTGCTGGCCGGAGCGCAGCCGCTAGCACCAGCTTTTGAAAGGCCGGCTCTGCCTCATCAGCCGGAAAACGTTCCTAGGCCGTGGAGACGTATTTCCACATTTAGGAATCTCCTCTCAGAAAACAAAGTGAACAAAAGTTAGTTACAAAATCACATTCTTCACAGCGTCGTTCGTGTGCAAGTAAAGCAGCATTACAATGCTGCTTATGAAAAACTTCTCCTGACTTGGGGAATGGTGTATACACTATAATTTCTTTAAAACTTTTTTAGTGCTGGCCGGTTTGGTCAATGGTTAGAGCGTTGGCTCACACACCGAAGGGCTGCAGGTTCGATCCCAGGTTGGGATGGGAACTGGAGGCAGCCACTGATATATCTCTCTCACGCTGACATTCCTCTCTCTCTTCCCCTCTCCCCCTCCCCACCTTCCACTCTCTAAAAAAGATCAATGGGGGGAAAAAATCCTCGTGTGAGAATTTTAAAAAAACATACAAACTTTTATGAAAACAGGGAGAACACAAATCTATACAAAACATATAATATATGGCAACAACCCACAGATAAGTATATACATTAACATGTATAAACTCATGTCCACAAAAAACAGAAAAAAAGGAAGGCATCCCAAATGTAAACTCCACTGAGCAGGACTGTATCTTTACCTCCTTAAATGTCTCTCTATTTTTATATTTCAGCAACGTGTATCAACTATTTCCTTTCCTACTCAAGAGAAAATACAAATTCTTTAATGACGGAGGAGCAAGCTGCGTGCAATGGTGTCCGAGGGAGTCAGAAGAGCAGGTGTTCCACTGGAACGAAAGGTCCGTGAAGTCCTAGTCCTGAGGCCAGGACTCCGGCCCTCCGTCGCCCACCGCACAGCCGTCACCAGCTGTCAGGCGTTCCTGTCTTTGGGAACTCAGCTCAGGTCACTTCCTACATAGACCTTCTCTTTCGCTCCCGCACCTGGATGGCTACTCACTTCCTTGACCTTTTCCCTCTGGTGCCCAGTTTAGCTGTGTTTGCATTTTTTTTTTTTTTTTATCCTTTTGGAGTGTAAGGTTCTAGATGTTGCAGTAGGAATTGCATCTTACATGGCTTGCATCCCTTGTAGCATCTTAAACAAAGCAAGCATTCATTCACTCATTCATTCATTCACTCATTCGTTCATTCATTCATTCAAGTGAAATTGGCCAACGGGCTGCTATGTGCCTGGTGCTGCTGTAGGTGCTAGGGGTACAGAATGAAAGTCTCTGTTTTTATTTAGCTCTTTTGGTGTTAGAATTGCTGCTTCTTTGATTAATGTATTGATTTAAAAAAAAAAGTCTAAATTTGGCCTTTCTGTTTCACTAGCCAGTGTTATGTGAACTCGTTGGTCAACATTCACAGTAGGAAAACTATGTTTTCTGTGAAGTGTCCTCAACCATGTGTGACACAAAGGTTATGTGAAACACTATCTGTGTGCGTGTTACTCCTCATGTGAGGCTATTCTTTCCACTGATTTTCGGAGTGTGGCAGGGAGGGGGAGAGACTGAAAAACTGAGAACAATCAATGCACTGGGGATCCTGCAACTGAGATATGTGCCCTTAACTGGAATGGAACCCTGGACCCTTCACTGTAACCACTGAGTAAAAGTGGCCAGGGACCAAAGTTAGGCCACTTTTGATTCAGGAAAGCTCGAGGGATTAACATGGCAATTAAAGGAGAAGCCTGGTTTTCCCAGATTCAAGATGCCTGAAGCTTGGAGTGGAGACACCACCTGCTCCACGAGCCCAACTGCCCTTGGCCATGTGTGAGTCCAGCAGAGGAAGCCTGACCACGGTCTTCACAGACTCCGCGGCCGTGGACACTAAAGGACCCCACGCCTGGGCCTCCACGCAGGGCAGGTGGCGTGGGAACAGGCGGCTCATTCGTTGGGGCGGGAGGGACCAGGAGCTGGATTTTGAAGGACGGGTTGGACTTTAGAAGATGGACGGAAGGACATGCTGGCTTAACTCACTAACAAGAAAGGAGAAGCCAAGTCCATCTGAAGAAAGCGAGTAATGCACATGCCCAGGATCCCAGCGCAGACGAAGCCGCCCACAAGGCTCACCTCTGGGCCACAACAAGTGGGGACTCCACGGGCAGCGTATAGGGCAGCATCACATAACATATGACCTTCACCGGTAGGAAGCTGCAAATCTTGCTCAAGCAGCCACCTCGGGGTCTAAGTGCCTCACTCAGGCCTGAAAGATACCACTGGGGGGAGGGGCGTTCCCCTCAGTGTAACCTCACCCAGGTGCTGCCTGCAATTCCAGTGAAACACACAAATCCTGCTGCCAGAGAATCAGAAGCCGGGCCCATGCCATGGAACAGGGAGTGCGGCCAGAACAGCCCTGGGACAGCCACAGGCCTGGGAACAACTCTGTCCCACTGGCAGCTCTCCCTGAAGGAGACACCGACCCCCAACCCCACCCGCCTTACGAGCTTTCCCAACACGCCCTCTTCTGCCTGGAGCCCTGGCTTCTGTTTCCCCTTCGTTGTGGCCTCAGGACCCTCAAATCGTAGCAACCTGGGCACCAGCATTGTGTTTATCTTTGAATTTCTCCCAGTGCCCGAATGCATCTGGTGTGCGCTCCTGGTCCATCTGGTGTCTGACGACATGATCAAATGCACTACCGTCCTTCAATGACAAGTTCAGAGCTGTGAGTTCGGGGAAGGGGAGGCAGACAGGCTCCTCCAGAAAGAAGGCGTGGAGACGAGGCCCTGGCAGGAATGGTGTTCTGGAAGAAGGGGCCCACCCTCGGGGCCCCCAAATCTGGTGCGCCCGGACCCAGGAACTGGGTGCATGCCCGCGTAACTCCCAACAGGCTCACTGGGAGTGTGGCTTTTTCTGGCCATGCACACGGGGAAGGGAGGCTGAGCAAGGCGCCCGGGTGGGGAGATGGTGCCAGGAGGTGGGGCCTCTTCTCCTCCCCGTGGCAGCATCACCCTCCTCCCCAACCCAGGAGAGAAGCCCTCTTAGCCTCAGCAACAGAGAGCAGCACCCTGCCGTCCTGCCAGAGGCGTCTCACCCGCAATGAGCTTGGGCGACAGGGTCTCCAGGATGCTCTCGTCCCAGGGCCGGAGGCTGACACGCAGGTGGGCCAGCAGCTTGGCCACCTCGGGCCTCCCCTGCCAGGCAGCCGCCCCCGGGGAAGCCTCGGGGCTCGGGGTTTCCCAGGAGAATGGAAGGAACTCGGGCGCTGCCAAGGGCACACTCGGGCTCAGACGGGGCCTGTCACAGATGCCTACATGGGGCACGGAGACAGGGGGCATGACTCACACACCCACCCACCCATGACAGGAGGCCAGCAGCCACTGGACACTGCAGGCCTGGGATCAGCTCAGTAGCAGGCGGGACGGACGAGGGCAACGGTCTTCACAGGGAGGAGGCGGCATGGGGTCTGAAGCCACAGTGAAAGGAGCCGAACTCCTGGCTCCGTCACGCACTCACTGTGGGCCGCACAGCCACTGTGGCCTGGGAGGGAAAGGTGCCTGCAGCTAATGTGCACTGACTGTGGCACCGCTGGTGGAGCCCATGCCCCCGGCTCTGATAGGAACGCCCCAGCCAGGCCTGGCAGCAGCCATGCAACTGCTACTATTATCAGCGTCTCCCCTTTTCAGCTGAGGAATGGGAAGCACAGAGAGGTTAAGAGACTCACCCACGGCCACACAGCCCGTCTGGGGCAGAGTGGGATTTGAACCCAGGCCTGACATCAATCATGGTCCTCTTCTACCACACAACCCTGAAAGCAGTATTAGGCACGGGAGAGTGTGTGTGTGTGTGTGTGTGTGTGGGGGGGGGGGGTGCTGCCCCAGGAGTTGGGGTGCAGTAGCCAACACCACAGGGGCTCCCAGCTCCCTCGGAATTGGCGCACAGGGTGGAGGCGGTCTGGGTGGGTTGGGGGAGGGACTGTAGTTTTAGAGGCTCCGGTTTGCCCTGGCTCACCTGTTGCCTCCATCCTCAGGTTACAAAGACCAGGGGCTGCCCCGGGACACCCCTCGGTGCTCCTAGATTACCCTCCCCTTTATGCTTCTCTCTCGATCTTTCCCGGGGCCTCCCTTAGACACGCTGCTCACCCTCTGGGACATCACCTGCCCTAGGTACAGATCTGTTCCCAGAGGACATCACCTGCCCCCCATTGCCCACGACTCCCCTGCAGGACCCCAGGGACCAGCTGCCTGAGGACCTGCTCACATATTTGAACCCAACCCGGCACCGCGTGCCAGTCTTTACAATGACCGAGAATCACCTGGACGTACTTGTATCCCAGCTTCCCTCAATACAGAGGCGGGAACAGGCCCAGGGAGGGGGTGGCCTCCCCAAAGCCTCTGAGTGCTTCCCTGGGCCCAGACCATTGGGCCATTGAAAGCCCTTGTGAACTAACAGGGGACACTGTGCCGGGGGAGCGCCCTGGAGCAGGGACATCCCGGGTTCCAATCCCAGCTCTGCCCTCAGTGGGCGGAGTGTGGTCCCTGGCTCGCCTCTCCAAACCTCCATTTCCCCACCTGTAAAATGGGGGAGAGGGTTCCTATGTAGCGGAGCTCATTGGAGCACTGAGCCCGACAGATGGTGAAGGGGGGAGCACCACGTGATGTCACATCATCTGGGGCTCACCAAGCCTGCTAACAAACAGCTGAGGAAAAGGGCACATCTGGCCTGGCCAGTGTTGCTCAGTGGTAAGCACCAACCCATGAACCAGGAGAGCACGGTTCTATTCCTTTTCAGGACACGTGCCCAAATTGCAGGCTCAATGCCCAGCAGGGGGCATACAGGAGGCAGCCGATCAATGATTCTCTCTCATCATTGATGTTTCTATCTCTCTCTCCCTCTCCCTTCCTCTCTCTGAAATCAAGAAAACCATATTTAAAAAAAAAAGAAAAGTGCTCATCTGCCCCCCAGCCCACACATACCGTTTTCTTCCAAGAACCTGACTACGTCTAAATACCCTCGTAGGAATAACTCTGCAAGCACCTGTAAGCGAAGGAAGCGAGTGAACTACCGGGCAGGGTCACTAAGCCTCACTCACTTAAACCGAAGGCCCCTTCAAACTCTGAGCTGCCTCCACGGGCCAGGCATGGCCTCTGTGTGTGCGAATGTTTGGGGCTGTTTTGACAGTAGTTGATTTCTACTTTCCTAACACTGTGATCTGAGAAGACGCTTGTAGAGACTTGTTTTGTGCCCTAACATGTGGTCTGTCTTTGAGAATGACCCATGTGCACTCGAGAAGAATGTGTATCCTGCAGCTTTGGGGTGGAATGTTCCATAAATCTCAATTAAATCCATCTGATCCAGTGTGTCTTTGGAGTCACTGGTTCCTTCTTAATTTTCTGTCTGGATGATCTATCCAGTGAAGTCAGCAGGGTGTTAAAGTCCCCTACTGTAACTGTATTGCTCTCGATCTCTCCCTTAAAGTTCTTTAGAAGTTTTTTTTTAAATATATTTAAGTGCTCCTATATTGGGTGCATATATGTTTACCAGGGTTATTTCCTCTTGTTGGATTGATCCCTTAGTATTATGTCGTGACCTTTGTTGTCTCTTCTCAGGCTTACATTTTGAAGTCTATTTTGTCAGATATGAGTATTGCCACCCCAGCTTTTTTTTTGTTTGTTTACATTTCCATGGAAAATTTTTCCCATTCCTTCATTCTCATCTTATGTGAGTCTTTTGTTCTGGGGTGGGTCCCTTGTAGACAGCATGTAGTTGGGTTATCTTTTATATCCATTCAGCTACCCTATATCTTTTGATTGGAGCATTTAATACATTTACATTTAAGGTTATTATTGATAGGTGCTTATTTATTGGCACTTTAATCCTGTATGCCTAGGTTTCTCTATTTCTTCTCATTACAGCAGTCCCTTTAGCATTTTTTGCAATGCTGGCTTGGTAGTGATAAACTGTCTTAGCCTTTTTTTTTTTTTTTTGGTCTGGGAAGCTGTTTATTTCACCATCTATTCTGAATGATAGCCTTGCTGGATATAGTAATCTTGGTTTCAGATTCATGCTTTTCTTTACCATGAATACTTCTGCCATTCCCTTCTGGCCTGTAGAGTTTTTGATGAGGAATCAGTTGACAGCCTTATGGGAGCTACTTTGTGGGTAACAAATTGCTTTTCTCTTGCTGCCTTTAAGATTCTTTCTCTTTAATTTTTGGCATTTTAATTATGATGTGTCCAGTCCAGGGCTTTTTTGGGTTCTTGCTTGGGACTATCTGTGCCTCCTGAACTTGTGCGACTTTTTCCTTCACCAGGTTAGGGAAGTTTTCTGCCATTATTTCTTCAAAAATGTTTTCAATCCCTTTCTCACTTTCTTCCCCTTCTGGCACAACCGTTATGCGAACATTGTTACGTTTCACATTGTCCCACAGCTCCCTTAAACTGTCCTCTAATTTTAAATTGTTTTTCTTTTTGGTTCTCTGATTGAGTGATTTTTTTCTACCATCGTCTAATTCACTGATATCATCCTAAGCTTCCCCTAATCTGCTGTGTATTCCTTCCAATGTGTTCTTTATTAGTGCTATGTCAATCTTTATTTCCGACTGTTCTTTTTTCATATTTACTATATCTTTTCTCATGCTGTTGAACATCTTTACCATCATTATTCTGAACTCTATATCAAATGAATTTCTTATCTCCATTTCATTTATCTCTGCTATTGGAGAATTCTCTTGTTCTTTCATTGGGGGTTGTTTTTTCATCTCTCCATTTTGGGTGCCTGCTTGGGTTTGTGACCGTGTATTAGGTAGATCTGCTACGCTTTGGGCAGCACAGTTTAAACGTCCCCAGATGATTCTCAAAATTAGAGTGGGGCACCTATTCACTGAGGGGTCTGCTTTGGTTTGTCTGTGTAGTGAACCACACTAGTGGGTCCCCAGGAGCACAGAGCTGAACAAACAGCCCCACTCACCTTGACATCCGGGGGGAACACCATCTGCCTTATCAGCCGGACGTTCTCTAAGCAGAAGCGGAGACTGATCTTCGACACGTCCATATACAGGAAGTTCGTGGACTTGACCTTAGGATAGATGTCATGCTCCTCAAGGAACGGGGACTCAGTGATGGTCGTCTTGTCATCAAAGCAGGGTACGCTGTTAGTAAATACTCCATCCACGTACCGCTTGTGAGGGAGAGAGAAAACACATTCTGTCAGAGGCTCTGGGCAGGGAATTCTCAGAACCACAGCTGACCCAGGGGAGGACCAGGTTTGGGGAGCCTCTTTCAACACTTTCGGCTGTGCAGGCAGGTTTGGTACAAGCTGGACAGTCTGCACCTCTCAAACCAATGCTAGGAGCCCTGCCCCATTGTGACACCCTCAACTGTCCACAGACAGGACAGATGTCCCGGGTGGGGATCAATCAGCTCCAGTGGATAATGGCTGCCCAGGAAGGAGCTGCCCCTGGTGCTGCACAGCCCAGCACGTGGCCCAGAGCCTGCAGAGCACATACTCCACTCGGACTCTGCCGGGCAGGGCTCGCCATCAGCCGCATGTGTCTACAGAGAGTATTTGTTGATGGAACTGAACCATAGCTCTGTCGGCAGCTCTGCCCCAAGCCACGGGCTGGAAGGACAGTCAGATCCAGAGAGGACTGAATCGCTCCACCCTGAGAGCGAAGCTCGGCTTAAGGGAGTGGCTGAGTCTTAAGAGTCGTATTCTGTAACTAGGCCACGGGGCACCTGTCCTCCGTGCTCAGGTGAAGATGACATGAACCAGCTCACCTTCCAGAAAGCCAGATAGTGGGTTCTTGGTGAGGCTGGTTGGGCTGGGGGCGGGTGGGGTGGAGATGCAGCAGCTACGGAATCACTGTCTCAAGGCTGAGCCACAGAAGGCCCTGTGTTCGGATGCCTGCACCCAGCATTGTGCAGGCAGGAGCTGTGCAAACACAGTATAAAAGCAGACTTACCACGCCTCTGAAGGTCGCAGGGATTAAGCCACAGAAGTAAGGGATGAAGGAGGTGCAGATCAAGGCCTGTGAAGATAAAAGGAAGTGAAACCTCAGGCAAAGCAGTAGGCCCTTCCTTCCCCTGCCCCCCCCTGAGCCTTCTCTCTGTGAGTGAGAAGAGCAGCTGGTCTGCATGTGCTCTTTGCACACAGTAGGCACTTTATTTAATGGGTTGAATGAACGATGAACCAACCCACACAAGTGTATTTCAGCCCCAAGTATATGTCCCTGCTGCCCACGAGAGTCGCAATGGCCATCGCAGACTAGACCTGGAGCTGTGGACATGATGACTGACTGGGAAGGACTGGATCAGACTCAAGCTGCTTGACCCGCTGGCCCTGGACCCCGGCCTGGGATTCCAAGGCAGCAGCTTGGAGGAGGGGCCTCAGACTGCAAGTCTCACAGGCTCCCAGGTGATGCTCACGCGGGTCCAGGGACCACACTGGAGTAGCACCAGCTGGAGAGCATTAAGCAGCACACAACAATGACTCACAGAAGGAACGCCTGTGGGAGGAACAGGTGCTGGCTGAATAGAAACTTCCAGAAACAAGGTTCAATGAAAGATGGTTCTGGCTGCTGAGATGCAGCTGGCTCTATGGGCCAGGCCGCTCTGCTCTGCAGACGTGTGTGAAGAGAAGTGTCTATTGAACCCCCATGAAGGCATCGGGCAAATGCACTGTATTGTGACCTTGCAAACAACCTCCTCTGGGCTGGGCCCCGAGGAAGAGGCTCCGCCTTTCGCTGCTTCCCTCAAGCTGTTCTCCTGCAGGAACACGCATCCCGTGCAGGAGGGACACCGAGGGACAGGGCCCTGAGGAGGTGGACAAAGCCAAGCCTACAGGATGGGGAGCCATCCTTTAACACGGAACCTGTGCTGGAACGCCCAGGGTTTCCCAGGCTGTGGCCCAGACCACGGGGGCACAGCATGTACGTCACAGGGTGCGGGCAGCAGACAGTGTCCTGGCTGGCCAGGTGCTTGTCCGTGTAAGAAACCGGGCAGGTGGCCTGCGCCAGCCTCTCCGTGTGACTCCCAGAATGAAACAGCCCCTCACTGACAGCACCCAGACAGGCCCACCGCTTACGTCCACAACGTCGTCTTTGGACTGAAACTCGGACACCAGGATGTTTTCCCAGTCGGACACGCTGGTGAGCGAGATGCACGTTTCGCCTGAGATGAGCTGGTGGACGTTGTCCGGGAGGTGACTGTGGAGGGCTTCTCGGAGGGACCTGACTACGGTGATGGATGGATGGAGGATGCTCATGGTCCGGCTTCTGGCGGACTCGACAGGTCTGTGAGGAACTGCAGAGTGTGGTCTGTGGGGGAGACAAGCCCACAGGGGGATGGATGTGCCGCCTGGGAGAGGGGCGACTGTGGCAAGACCAGAAACCGGGCGGAGGGAGCTGTGTTCTCATGTGGCTGCAGAGCCCTTACAATGGGGATCATCCAAACTGAGATGTAGTTAGAGGATCTCAAAACTTAATGAAAAATAGAATGTAAAATATCTCAACTCACTCTTATACTGACTAAATGGGAGCAGGGTACTGTTTGCAGAGAGAGAAGAGCAGGCATGAGAAGGGAACCCAGCCCTGACCTCTAAAAGGTTTGCCAACGACCCAGACACCAGGTGATAGTCTTGTCTGAGCGGCTTGGAACTCAATTGTGAAGTTCCCTTGGGCACCTGTAGAGACGGAGAGGACGATGCTGCAGCCAACGGAGCCACAGGGGCCAGGCCCAGCGCAGCTGTTCCATGAGGAAATGTGGGGCTGAAAAGCTTGGCTGCACCTGCTGCAGAGGAAGCAGGTCTGTTCTAAGACACGGTCAAGAGCAAACGCCAAAGGCTGTAGAGTCCATGGATCTTCAAGGAGCCGCCAGTAGGAGATGGCTAATCAGGTGTCAGGGCTGATCTCCCTACACTTTTAACTCATCACACGTGTGACTGTAAACCCGCTCAGTGGACACCGCCACTGTTACCGCTGCCTTCGAAGTGGCTTTTCTCGCCTCCCGCTGTTTGGCTTCTCAACATCCTGCACCTCGTCTTCCTGGGACCTGGAGGTGCCTAAAGAGGAAAGGTGCCGAGTGGCGCCCCCGTCTCTGTCGCTGCCCTTTGCCTAGAATCTTGACCCTCAAGTCCATGCTGCCTTGGGGCGCACCAGCTCCGTCAGGCAGCTCACTTCCCATTTCCTGTAGATGCTCTGCTTGTTCTTGGGGGACGTGTGGGTCTCACACAAGCTGTACGGTCATCGGCAGAAGTGGGAGTTTGTGGGGCTTCTTTACCGGGTGTGGGATGGCTCATAACTTTGGCATTTGCTCATGGATTATTAATTCAACTATTTAAGATCCCATTAGTCTCACTTATGTCCTTTGTGGGTTCTAATTTCCCAGATGTCGGACCTCTCACATGGATTGCGAGGTAAGGAGTGGCCAGTCAGGTCCCCAGGGGGACTAGCACCCAGCAGGGAGCAGCCTGAGTTTCCTTAGACTGAGCACAACTGTGAGTCCTGCCCACCAGGGGGCGCCGTTTCATGCAGAACCTGGGCTCTCCCTGAACACGTGCAGTCTACCGCCCGCCACTAGGCGGCGCCTGTAGGCTTCCCCTCTGGATGCAATGGCCAGAGTGACTCCAAATGGCAGTTTCACTTGGATTTGGACTCCTTCCAAACGATGGGCCAGCTCTTCTCTCCTTTATTTTTAATTCTCACCCGAGGATATTATCTCAGCTTAGAGAGTGGAGGAGAGAGGGAAAGACAGAGAGAAACATCGATGTGAGAGAAACACATCCATTGGTTGCCTCCTGCATGAGCCCCAACCAGGTCCCGGGCCAGGGAGAAACCTGCAAGCAAGGTGCATGCCCTTGACCAGAATTGAACCCAGGACCCTTCGGTCCCCAGGCTGATGCTCTATCCACTGAGCCAATCTGGCCAAGCCAGCTCTTCTCTTCTTGACAAAAGAGGCCTTTCCATAGCCCTGCCCAGCGGACTTAATGGCTGTCTCTTCCGATGTCACACCCACAGAGCAGCAGATGATAAACTGAGGCCACCAGGAGCCCCGGAAGCCTGAGACAAAAATGCCGCTGAGCCCGGGGAAGGCGTGAGCGTGGAGGGCACAGGGCCTGGAGGGGCAGCAGGTGACCAGCCTGGTGGTGTGGAAGAACAGGAGGAGGACGTGGAGGAGGAGCCAGGAGGGAGGAAGGTGACTCAGAAGTGCCTTCTTGGAGAGGAAGGTCAGGGTCTGCATGGACGGCTCCTGTCGGGATCATCTGACCGAGACCTGGTGCGGGGTCTTGTACAGATGCGATTGTTTAATTCCTGTCATTTTCTTGTAAAGACAGAATCGCCTCCAGGTGCTGACACTCAGACAAGTTAATGGCCTCTCTCCAGCTGACTCAGCCCACATGAGCCCCAGGTGGAAAGTGGGACCCGCACCCCAAATCCTGATGTTGCTGAGCGTTCCCCTGCCCCCTCCCTGCGGCCCCGGGAAGGCATCAGGGCCCCACAGAGGTGGCTGCAGAGACAGGTTCCACACTGGATGCGGGGAGCCCTGCTTCCTGTCCCCCTTAAGCGACACACAAACATCTCCCTGCTACCAAGGCCCCTCCTCTCTGTCACTACCATCCAGTGTCGGAGACCAAGGCCGTCAGGACAGAAACAATGTCCAAAGGAGAGTTAGAGGGAGTGGTGTTTCCTTAGAAACACCCCATAAACGCATGTCCATCGGCCGCCACAGGTCAAAGTCCCCGACCCCATGGGAATTAACATCACCTGGGCTGAGTCCACAGCACACACTGAACCTGGGTTCATGCCTGCCCGTCCTCCTTTAAAATCCCCCCACAAAACCCACCAAATATTAAACACTAAATCATAAAGTGGTCTTCCAATCCACAACATGATATTGAAGAACAAAGCAGTACAGTCCCCAGTGCGGTGGGAAAAGAGAGTGGCAACACCTCCTTAGAAGTGTGTCCACGCGGCTGGAGAGCAGGTGGGGCCCCTGCTGAGACATCACCCTGGGGAGTGAGGGCCGAGCATGGGCTAGGGGAACTCCTGTAGAGCGAGCAGATTTCTGTGCAAAGGAGGAATGCAGCGGGGTGGAGGGTCAGGAGGGGAGTAGAGGGGGCAGGGATTGAGACCGAAACTCAGGAGCCCTCTCCTCCCAGTTCATAGGTTGATGCACAACAGCTGAGCCAGGCTTCCCGGGCGCCTTTGCTTCATTGCTGACCTGTGGGAAGGACAGAGGACACTGAGCCCCACAGAAAGATTGAGTTCTGGCAAGAGATGGACAACCAGAGGAAGGAAACAACCTCTGAAGCTCAGGCCCCCCCCCTGGCCCATAGCGTGGGCCCCCCTCTGGAGCTCAGAGCTTAGAGCAAGAAGCCAGAGCATAGCTGGGTGCAGGAGGCTGCGGCAGGCGCTCTGTGGGAGGGGGAGGTGTGTGCAGCAGCTCACTCGTGTCCCGGGAGCCTCGGGGCCTGGATCTCGGGGCTCAGTGCACAAGGGCAGGGGCAGAGGCAGCAGCGTGGTGCGTGGAGCTGGTCAGGTGGGGCACGTGGCTGGTCTGGGCGCCATCAGGGACCTTTCTGTTTTTGATGCTTCTTCTCAAAGCGAAATGCCTTTGATCAATGCGTCTCCTAATGCGCTGGAGGGGGCTGGTGTCCATGTTCTCTATCCATGGGGGTATCATTTATTGGTCACACAGAGGCCACTGTAGTCATGGCTTCCATCCTCAGGGGCCTAACTGCAAACATGCTTGTACATGATTGTGCGGATGTGAAAAGCATGAGCCATGTCACTCAATTCCATGCACCATTAAGAGTATGGATCTACCAAGAGCCAGTGTACCCAGTGGTCAGAGTGGGACCATCCAATTATAACTCCTCAGATCCATATGGGACACACTCAGGGGGCAGACTCAGTGAGCACCAAAGCCCCACTGAAGCAAGTCTTGCCCCAGAAGGTTGTCTTCAGCACAGAAGTTCTCCCACCATCGACACAGCTGATTCTCACAGCCAATTGGCCTGAGGTCAAATCCTCCCAGTGTTACCTACAACAATCAAGGCTTAACTACAACAAGACTGTGCACAAAGCCCACAAGGGGGTGCACCAAGAGTGTCTACCTCAGGTAATTGGGGAGGCTGAGCCACTGGGCCCTAGAGGATACCTAGCACAGAAAGCCACTTTATCAACACAGGGAAGCATAAAAAATGCCGAGACAAAGAAACAGGACACAAATGACAGAAATGGAGGAAAGTAAACTACTGGATATAGAGTTGAAAACCACACTTTTAAGGTTTTTCAAGAACTTTCTAGAAACCGCCAATAAATGTAGTGAGATCCTCAAGAAATCTAGCGAGACCCTCGATGTTGTGATAAAGGACCAATTAGAAATTAAGCATACACTGACTGAAATAAAGACTATTATACAGACTCCCAACAGCAGACGAGAGGAGCGCAAGAATCAAGTCAAAGATTTGAAATGCGAAGAAGCAAAAAACACCCAACCGGAAAAGCAAAATGAAAAAAGAATCCAAAAATACGAAGATAGTGTAAGGAGCCTCTGGGACAGCTTTAAGCATACCAACATCCGAATTATAGGGGTGCCAGAAGAAGAGAGAGAGCAAGATATTGAAAACCTATTTGAAGAAATAATGACAGAAAACTTCCCCCACCTGGTGAAAGAAATAGACTTACAAGTCCAGGAAGCGCAGAGCACCCCAAACAAAAGGAATCCAAAGAGGACCACACCAAGACACATCATTATTAAAATGCCAAGAGCAAAAGACAAAGCGAGAATCTTAAAAGCAGCAAGAGAAAGACAGTCAGTTACCTACAAGGGAGTACCCATAGGACTGTCAGCTGATTTCTCAACAGAAACCATGCAGGCCAGAAGGGAGTGGCAAGAAATACTCAAAGTGATGAATACCAAGAACCTACAACCTAGATTACTTTATCCAGCAAAGCTATCATTCAGAATTGAAGGTCAGATAAAGAGCTTCACAGATAAGGAAAAGCTAAAGGAGTTCATCACCACCAAACCAGCATTATATGAAATGCTGAACGGTATCCTTTAAGAAGAGGAAGAAGAAGAAAAAGGTAAAGATACAAATTATGAACAACAAATACACATCTATCAACAAGTGAATCTAAAAATCAAGTGAATAAATAATCTGGTGAACAGAACGAACTGGTAGTTATAATAGAATCAAGGACCTAGAAAGGGAATGGACTGACTATTCTTGGGGGGGAAAGGAGTGTGGGGGATGTGGGAAGAGACTGGACAAAAATCGTGCACCTATGGATGAGGACAGTGGGTTGGGAGTGAGGGCGGAGGGTGGGGTGGGAACTGGGAGGAGGGGAGTTATGGGGGGAAAAAGAGGAACAAATGTAATAATCTGAACAATAAAGATTTAAATAAAAAAAAAGAGTATGGATCTAAAATGCCTTGGGATCTATCACTCAATATTATTTTAGTCTGGCCAGAGGTTGAGCATCGACTTATGAACCCCGAGGTCACGGTTTGATTCCCGGTCAGGGCACAGGCCTCGGTTTCAGGCTCAATACCCAGTGGGGGGAATGCAGGAGGCAGCCGATAAATGATTCTGTCTTATGGATGTTTCTATTTCTCTCTCCCTCTTCCTTCCCCTCTGAGATCAATAAAAGTATATTAAAATTACTTTGAATGAGTTGTCAGCCACGACTAAGAGTCCTTCTTTAATTCCATTCAAAGCAAGGACAGGGAGGCCACTGTCATAGAGTTCCACAAACGTCACTGATGCTGCTCATGGCACAAGAGCTGTACCTGTGGAGTGAATGCCTGCATGTCTGACATGACGTATGTGCCTCTGTCATGTAACACGGAACAGGATGAGTGTGACAGGGATGGGCCCATGGGGACTGTTGTCTCCAGAGGCTACGTAGAGGGCACAAGCACACGGGGACATCACGAACCTGAAGTGATGTCTGTGGTGCCTCCATGACCAGGCACCTGGGGACCAGTTAGAGCCTGAGCGCTGGAGGGGCCCTGGGATCCAACGGACACACGTGACCAGTGCCTCCTGTTGAGGACGGGAGTGCAGAGACCTGAGGGCCTCGGGGACATTATCCCTGTCCCCACCCGCCCCTCCTGTTCCCTGAATCCAG